GTTGGTGCATATATTTGAATGATAGTAGTATTCACTGGACTTCCTTGTATGCGTATAGATATTATCCTGTCACTGACAATATTGTACTTCAAGATAGATCTAGCAATGGCTTTTTTAACTATGAAAGCAACTCCATTTTTCCTCACTTTTTCATCTCCAGAGGAAATACTACATGGTTTAAAATTATGAAGGGAGTGTGTCAGGGTTGTGTTCTTTCTCCATACCTGTTCAGTCTGTATAGTGAGCAAATGATTCGAGAAGTTGGTCAGTATTAAAGAAGAATCTGCCATCAGAATTGGAGGAAGACTTATCAATAAAATTCATTATGCAGATGACACAACCTTGCTTGCTGAAGGTGAGGAGGACTTGAAGTCCTGGCTGCAAAAGATCAAAGACTGCAGCATTCAATATGGATTGCATCCCAGTGTCAAGGAAAAAAAATTCTCACCATTGGCTTTACAGACAACATCAGGCAAGATGGAGTAGAGATTATACTGTGGATAACTTCATCTTACTTGGTTCCACAACTAATATACTTGATACCAACAATCAGAGGATGAGATTTATTGCACTGAGAAAGTCTGCAGTCAGGGACCTCTCCAGATTACTGAGGAATATTGAAGTAGTTTGAAGACTGCCATGCTCCTTATGTAAGCCATGGTCTTTTCAAATACTTGTTATGCTGCTAAGAACTGGACAGTGAATGAGGATGACACAAGAGGAATTGATACCTTTGAACTGTAGTGTTGGAGAAGAGTACTGAATATTCCAGGGACTCCCAAGAGAAGAAACAGTCTTGAAGAAAGTGTAGGCAGAGTGTTGATTTGTAAACATTTGTACATACTCATATACTTTGTACAGGTTGCTAGGGGAAGCTATTCTTTAGAGAGGCATATTATACTGGGGAAGCTGAAGGGACAGCAGAAGAGAGGAAGACCCTCAACCAGGTCGATTGACATAATGCCTGTGACAGTGAGCTCGGGTAACAGATTGTGAGGATGGCACAGGACAGGAGAGGTTTCAGATCTCTTGTATGTAGAATCACTAAGCATTGTACTTGACTCAGTACCACCTGACAACAACAATAAGGAGTTAATGTAGTAGTAATCAGATTTACTAGTAATTAAATTTGGATAGCATTTCTTTCCCTCCCCCTTGATTCTTATTTCTATATTGAGAGACACTCATTAATTTCAAAATGAGGGGTATTTCATGCAAATATATGACAAAATTACGAAGCGGAAAAAATCAATTCTGTGTCATGACTCACTGTTTTTTAGATACTAACTAATCTTTTGGACCTCCTTTCATCCTCTTTTAAAATAGACTGTTTGGATTGCATAAGAAAGTCATCAACATGGTACACAACTTGCTCTCCAGCCATGATTCAGACCCACGCTATTTGGACCCCCAGATAAAGGCTCGAGTGGCTATGTTATATCTACCTCTGATTGGTATTATCATGGAGACTGTACCTCAGCTGTATGACTTCACAGGTATTTACTACACTAAAGACCAGTTTTTAGGAGAAAGCTCAGTGTTTAAAGAGATTGGAAAGTGTCTCAAGGTTGAAGATCTTATTTTATGAATGCCAAAATAAATATTGACAAAAGTTTATTAGAAACAATCATATTACTGAAAAATTTTGTCTGTGTGAGACAATTCACAATAAGTCTCCTATAATCTTTTTGATGATTTAAAAATAATGATTTCATAGCAATACATATGGCTTCTTTATTGTTTATATACTTGCCTCTTTGGAAAGATTTATTTGCATGTATATTGTAGATTTTTAAAAAAGCAAACACAAAACTTAGTAAGATATCTGCCAACTTCAGTCATAAGCCTTTAAATTACATACACAGTATAATTTCAATTAGCTTTTACTTGAATACCAGGAATTGTGTTTTTTATTAGTACTTGGTTAATACTTTTTGAGAGCTAATACCCTCTTAATTTATGACTTCTGCTTTCCATATTTAATATTTTCTTGGTTTTTTTCCCCATTAAAATAAAACATTTAGGATTCAGCTAAGCTACCATTTAACCTAGTAAGTTATTTTTTTTTAGTTTGATATAGACAAATTACTTACTATGTATGTAATGACTACCAAGAACTCTTGACAAATGACAATTATACAGAGATAGCCAACTCTTTTATCTCGTGGGATTGATGTTGTTATTACTTACTACTGAGTTGGAATCAATTCATAGCAGATCTTCAGAAGCTGTAAATTTTACGGAGGAGATCTTTCTCCAAAGGACAGCTGGTGGATTCAAACCACATTCTTTTTTTTTTCCTATAATTATATTTTATTAATTTTCATAAA